GGGTGGACAATTTTGTCTTTTTCCTAATTAAAGTGGCAGATTTGCAAAGGTGTACCAGCGTGTAACACACTTGTAAAATGATCATTTAAATATGGTATTTTTATAATTTTTCCTCTTTTTTTTACATGTTTATAGTTTTCAAAAAATAAATATGAAAAATAATTTATTTCTGTTCACATGTTTATAAAATTTTAAAATAATTGTATTTAAATGTGTTCGGTAATGAGTTTGGGAAAATAATATTAAAACTAGTAAATCATAATTCATCAATCCAAACTGGAAACAAATTATATAATTCCGAATAAAGTTCAAAATTTCTATATTAAATTATCTAAACTAAGTTTGAATTATACGAAACCGAAACATACTTACCAAAAATTATTAAATATATTGTTAGATTTGTTGTTAACATCTAATACAAATTTTAGTTGCTCACACAAAAAATAAAATAAAATGAATATTGTATTTATCTTAAATGTATCTAATTATATATGTAAAAATATACATGAAAAAATGTTTTACATGCTCATAGATTTTGAAAAGATAATCAAAATAACATTTATTTTATTTTAAAATTAATAAAATTTTGTGAATATATGTTAATCTTTTGTTCAAATCTAACTATACGATTTAAGTCTATAATTTTCGAAATATTTAAATTTTGATAAGTTTAAGATTTTGAAATATTTTAATTTTGGCAAGTTTATGATTATTTCAATGGGTTTGACAATTAGAGTAAGAATAATCAAAATAAGTTGGTTTGAAAATATAAATAGAAAGCTATAATCCTCTCATGCTCAACAACCGAAGCAGCCGCCGTTCATCGTCTAAGACAAGGATGAGGTCTCTGATCCGCCCCTCGTCTCACCGCGTCTCCGCCTGAGAGCTAGTCCTCAGTGTTCGACGGTAACCGCACTTTGCCGACGAGATTCCCCCCCCCCACCTCTGTCCCCATGGCTTGCTCCTCTACTTCACCGTGCTTAACCACGAGTCCAATCCCGCCGCCGTCTCTGACACTGAGAGGCAGGAGGCTCTCTAACTTTCGGACGGTGATTCGTTCGGCGACTTCGAACCCTCCGGACCCACCGGTGCCTCCAAATCCTCCCCCACCGCTTATATATCTGAAGCCGATGTCTGAATTGCTCTACCGCCTCCTCGTGAAGACTTAATCGAGTCTTTTACTTCCTCTAATATCGCCGGATCTAGCCTCCGTACCGATAATTCCGTCTACCGAGGTCAAGAAGTATCACCGTCGCTCCAGGAGCCTCCAAAGTCTGAATGGCACCAGATCGGAGGTCTCTCCGGAGTTTTCTCGAAGGATTATCAACTCTTTTCTCGGTGTTTCCCCCACCGTATCCATCTCCGAGTCTCTGCGCATCATTGGTTTTCTATGATTCTAGCCGGAGGTGACTATTCCGGCAAAGCCCCACCGCTTTGCACGCCAGGAAAGTATAGTCGAGACTTCGTGCCCCAAAGCCACTCAATCATCCACCGTGATGGATTGATTTTGGATATGGGCCCTTGTGAAGTGAAATGGGTCTGTCAAAGCCCAATTCGTGTAGGCCCAAATCACTCATTATCCTTGGCCCAGGGCCATGCTCCCAAAAATCATATTTGCAAAAAAATTACATGTTTTTGAATTTGTGGCTTCTCTTTTTTGAGAAGTCCAAAGTTTTTTAGATTCTCAAATCTTGTAATCTCTCTTCCCTCTCATTAAGAGTGGTCGTATCTTCACCTTTCTCTATGAGAATGAGTGTTTTCCTGAGCGTTGTCCCGGGAACCCCTAAGAATTTTCTCACCGATTTGTTTTCTTGTGTGGCCGTATTTTTGGAGCCAAAAGAAGCAACCAGACTCGTCTTGATGTGTACCAGAGTCAGGAGTTCGATTTCAACGTCACACCTGAAAGTGACCGTTTTGTGGATTTCCGGCTTTGCCGAGAACATCTTTTTGACGTATTCGAGGCACGCCTTGAATTTGCTGTCTATCACTCGCGATGAATTATCTTTCTTATGTTTAATTCAGTTTGAATTATGTTGTATTGGTGGTCGAGGATGCTTAATTCCTTCCCTTTGTATTGTGAAAGATTATTGAATGAAATAAGAATGTGAAAAAAAAAGTTAGTTTGAAAATAAATGTGTTTGTT